TTTTTTTTTTACAAGAAATAAAGAATATATTCTTTTTTAAAAATAAATCAAGTCGGAAGTGCGTTCAAATCAAACCACCTGTTAACACCCACGGCCTTTGTTGGAATTTTGGTTTTTGGAAATGGAAGGCCGCGACATCCGTGTTGGTCTTAAATTTAATTCCTAATGCTATTAAAAGGTCTCAGACTGAACTTACTGTAACCTGAAAGAGACACGATATTCATACATGTTCTGGTGTTTCCACCGCAGGGCCATTTTCACACTTACCAGTTTTATGGAGCTATTCATTTATCTGTTACCACTGGAGGAAAAAAATTAGATTAACAGGGACAATATGGAGCTAACATGGTATTTATTGCAATAATAATATAAATTATGATTAAAAAGTACTGAAAAATTTCTTTCATGGAACCAGCAGTAGGAAAGAAATTCATAGAAACATTAACTGCAACAATAATTAGTCATAAGTAATTGATTCTTGGAGTCAAGTTGGTTGGTCAGGCACTTGTTTTTTTTTTTTAATTTAACACTGTTTTATGCTTTCGCCATTTGTGTAAAATTAAAGCCATGGAAATGGTTCTGAAAACTCCTCCCAGCTGATAGATTAGTATAACTTTTTTCCTAATCCGTTTATGGGTTAGTGGAAATGAACTGAGCTTCTCAAAAAGTTTGGCTATTCAGTTATTTCATATTTTAATAAGTAGAACAGAGGCAATTCTTTTTCACAGGTACTTTGATCATGTTGTTCAGTTAACGAATAAAATTCATAATTTAGGCACCATTTTGTATTTTCTCAGGTTGTCTATGAAATAGAAATTGGTTGACAATCTGAAACATTTTAGTCTGTCAAACAACACGCATAACAGCACTATAATTCATAACCTGCAAAGTGCCTTTTTGTTCCGAAGGACCCATGACTGAACTTCTGGACTTGATGACGCATGTCGCCGGTCAGACGGGCTCTAATGGCTCTCAGTGGCAGCATCCCTCGGACCTCACATGCAGGTATTCACATCTTTGAACTGATCTGTGGTTTGAGGTTATGCCCCATTATAAAGAAAACTCAGAAGATGGTTTCTGCTGATGATCTCAGCTGGGATTCTTGTAAGCTACAGAAGAACCAGTGAAGGAATGGGGCATTTAGATTAAGTTTAATTCATTTTCTATTGAAGTCCTGGATGTTTGGTTCAACCATAAAGGAGGAACAGAACAGTAGCCCAAACAAGAACCCATATAGACAGACTTGTAGTTTCTATGTTGTCCATCACTTTTAAAAACCTGTTGAGTTTCCTATAAAAACTTTTGCCCCAGATACGATATTCCAGTGACTTTACGTACATTTCCTCAGGAATAGACATATTTAAGATGTCGTTGTTTTCAGAAATTTCCAAAAACGCTTTGGGAACGAGACGCCAACCATGACCCTGAGTGAATGGCAGGCACAGAATAATACTCACCACCGGCGCTTCTCCAAAGTCCCCAAAATTTTCGAAAGAAGCCCCTATCCTTGAATGTGCACTTAGAGTAAGCCACGTTGTATTTGCTCTACTCTTTATAAATCTTTATTGTATTTTATTAGACTAAATATCGGTGTTGGTGCTGTTTCTTTTTTCTTGGTTTTGTTGCATGTAATCTTGTGTGTTGGCTTTAAATGTTGCCTTTGTTTTTCTTAAATATTTTGCATGCACTTTCTTATATTAACAAATGTTTTAAGAGATTTTGATGTTATTCATGGTAAAGATTTATCTCTTGTGTGTTTACAGAAAATAGGTGGACATATATATGTGTTATTACTTTTTTTTTTTTTTACTAGAAATGAAACAACCATAGTTTTAATACTCTTTTCATCTGTTGCTACTGATTTAAAGGATCAGTCAGAGGTTTAGTTTGGCAGGGAGACCAGTAATGATGTTTGGCCTGTTCAGTTCATGTAGCGACTCTGGCTTTGTGTGATTGTCAGCTTCATTCTGAGTTCTCCTCCTACAGCAGTATCTGAGCGCTCTGCAGGTGGATGCTGACAGATTTGACTTGTGAATCTTATCAGTATGGGTGTCCTGCACTGAATAATCCATGCTGTTTAAGTCAATTTACAGTACAGCAGTGTATTTCCTTCCCAGTTTATGAGCAGGATCACTGCAGCAAAAGAGTTATTGTTGATCTGGCATGCCATACAGTTGTACAGCTGTGTTTAGGCTATCCAAAAACAGGGGGAAAATATACTTAATACTAAGAATTGTGTTACTTTGAAGCTCAGTCTGGTTCTAATGTTGAGAAATTGATTTCACAAGTTTACTTACCTTTTCTATTACAAGTTGCTGACTTTTCTGTGACTTGATGAGCCAGAAATCAGGTTGCTGGGTGTACTGATTTTGGATGATTTTCTTAAATTACACTCCTATTTCAGAGGAAATCTTTAGTTTTAATGAAAGTTTTGTAAACCTGTTTACCTTTAAAAAAGAAAAATAAAGTGAGTCACAGTCTTGACTTTCTTACGCAGAAAGCTTGTGTGCACCAAATTAAGAGCTCATTAAAACCTTTATTTGATTGGAAAATATTAGAATTTTATTTCATTTAAGCATTTACAAGTAAGCGTACACCGTTGTCTTCATAACTGAAGTGTAAAGATTGTGCATAATAGTTCAACCATGCTAGCCCTCATGACCGCTGTACAATGATCATAAATATGAAAGCACTAATAAAGCAGTTCATTTTTTTTTTCTAAAACATGCTTTTGATTCTCATTCCTGTGTTTAAAACAAAACAAACAAACACAACCCATGGGACAAAATCCACTGTCATTTTTAACGAGGTTTTTCCATCACATTCTTCTACTGTTACCAAACACATTTTAAATACAGTTCAGTACGCTTATCGAATGCCACACTGAAACTAAACCTTCTGTGGTTTGACCCCCAAAGGGCCCGGTTGGAATGTTGTTTTTCCTTACAGTCGTTACCATTTGTGGAGTGGTTAAGGAACAGAAATGTGTGCGCTATAAACCCTTGACATATTCAAAATCTGCTTAAAAATGAAGGATCTTTTGAGTTATTTATGGGGGGGGTCCACATTTACATCAAATGAAAACAAATCAGTAAAGCGGTAAAATAGTTTACTTCGATTCAACTAGAAATGTTTTTTTTTGTTTTGCCTTAAATTGCCAGGTTAGTGAGATCAGTGGGTCAAAGCTGACATCCAAATTTAGTAGTGTCAGTTCACAAGCATTATGTCTAATATAGTATGTTTCAAACAGGCATGCTAACAACGGTGAAAAGTTATCATTGGGGAAAGAAAAGCCCCAAACGGGGCTCATAAAGTCAATGACATTTATTTTTATCAACTCATCGACCCTCTGAGTCAGGATGTTTCTTTGTATGTTTCCACAATCCATTTCAGAAAGTTTCCTCCACAGTCTGGAAACTTTATAACTATCGTGTCTGTCATTTAAAGATTTTATATATAGTATTGTCTGTGTATTCATGCATTTCTCCATGATCTGTCTTCTCACTTTTTGCTGTTTTTTTGTTGTTGCTCGTTTTAAAGTAAAATCTTCCTTGCTGTAGAAATACTTGCCATAAACTCATCATGAACCTTTGTATTCATGCCTTAAATTTGGGATTCAAGTACTGAAAATTCTAGAAATGCAAGTCTGGATTTTCCAGAGTGTAGAAAAGTCTATTATCAGACTGTTCCCCATCTCCTTTAAAAGTTGCTTTCACCCACCAGTCCGTCTGTTTTCCCATTTTTATCAATTCCCTGTTGTTTCTGGATGCTGCTTAAACTCGTAAGGAACATTTGTGGTTCGACTTTACAAACTGACTTTATGTAAATTTCATTTTGGAAAAGGTTGGAATTTTATTTGAGGAATATTCCAGGTTCAACAAGGAAATTGAAAAATATTTGTAAAGAGAGACTTAAAACTGGCATTAGAAGTCCAGTAGAACTGTTTGTCCATCAACCCATTTTCCCCACTATCAATTCATTTATCCTCGTTTCCATCTTTTGTCATTTCTTCTTCAGTATAGCTTGTCCACTGGCGTAAACGTGAATAATTTTAAAGTCTTGAGTCTGGGGAAAAATGCATCTCGACATGAAGAACGAGGAAAATAGTTTTGAATTAGTCATGATGATTCATCAGGACTGACAGGGGAAGTTAAATTGATTTTATTTTTCTATATTTAAGAAAGTTTCTCTTAAAAGATAGGATGGTGTAACACAAAGATTCATCTTCAAAAACCTTCCACCTTGTAACTTTACATAAATCTGGACAATTTCAAAAAAGCATTTCTTACAGCATCCATCAAATTCAGTCAATACAATTTGAGTATTTACACAAAAGGTTAAGATATACACTGAAGTTGACAACAATTAAAGGAAATGTGCCCCTTTAAAAAAGTTTAGACTTTCTGTAAGTAGTCGTGGTGTATTGGTCATAATAATAAATAATGCTGGTAAATAAGTCAAAGTAAATATCCGAGTATCTGTTGCTGTGTAAATAAGCTTTGAGTCGTGTTTAGTTTGCTGTGAAGTGCTGATGTGGCTGCAGAACAACGAGAAGTTTGGCAAACGTTAAATGAGTTTAATTAGGTGGAAAGTCCCAACGAGCCTGACTTTAAAGTCACACTCTGACATCGGCCTCTGCTCACTGGAGGAGAAACGGTCTTGAACTTTTTCTCCAATTTTTTTTTCTTTTTTCTAAGAGCTGTGCCAAAGATGTGAGAGTGAAAACCGGATAATGACGATAAAAGCCTGCCATTAAATTAGTCATCGTTCTGTCCACTCCACTCGACTGTAACCTTCACCGATCACCATTTACCTCCTCCTTTTTCTTTGTACTGAAGTCTGAAGGGGCGTCGGTGTTTGTCATGTTTTGGACTGTTTGCAGCCCATTTTCTGATTTCCACAAGCCAGAGCTTTTTCTTTTTCAGTGCTCGCTCCTACCAACTCCTCCTTTTGAACATAAAAGGCATAATGACAAAATAAAAATTCATAAGAGTAGGTGATGTTTTTTTTTTCTTTTTTGAAAAATCCTTTTCATAAAACTGAACAATTTTGACAAAATGTGATCTCCTAGCTTCCCTACAAATCGAGACATTTTCTACATCAACCTTATTCCACAAAGCCTCTATAGACCGACTGTACTAAATAAGACATTTAAAATGTATTTACAAATCAGATACTTGCCAATTCCTCCAACCTGCATGTTATGTTTTCCCTTCACTTTGCACAAACATTTAAATACTGGGTGAAAGGTAAATGTAATGTCACAAAAGTGAGATACAACATCTTGTAAGTAATGGGATACAATTGTTAAGGCAGTACTACTGAGTGTAAATCAGCCCTCAAATACATCATGTATGCGCTTACCACAATAGCTATTTTCATTACCATGGACTTTAAACACATGTTCGTAATAATAATTCAAAAAGTCTTGAAAGAAGCCCTTCTGTCTCAACATCTGTTCAGGATGCCGTAAAGAAGTCTCAGGGTTCCCCAGTTGGGCCCGATTTAAAAAATATTTTTTTCCATGCTTGCCAAGAGAAATATTTTTATTTTTTTTTCAACACAGCTGAAAAGGCTTTTTTGAGGATCACTTAAAAATGATACCCAAGGTTTATTCCAGCATACTTGAACGTCCAGTTTGTTCATCCGTGACATGCTGACAGTTTTCCTTTTTCCAGAGGATCCAGAGTTCAAGTCCGGACTTCCTTCGTTTCCTCTGAGGGGCTGTTATTGCTGATTGAAGGGATCTCTTCTCCTCAGACGTCCGCAGAGTCCAGCCCCGTTCATAGTTAATTAGATGAATGAACTCCATTAGGGGAGTTCTGCTGCTCACAAAAATGACGTGAAATCCATCACGCTCAAAAAGAAAGACACCAGGAGGTACTAAAGGGCTCGTTCAGGGAGAGGAATGTTACATTTTAGAAGTCTATAATAAAAAAAGACGAGAGAAATTACAGGCCAGACTTGAAGAACTATGTCATATATACGAGTTAATGACTGTGAGTGATTTTAGCCGACTGATCCCTCTAAAGCTGCTCTGGTGACATTGCAGCCTGTAGTGGAAATGGCTCTTTTTGTTACCCGGGTGGAGTCTGGATTCCCTGAGGGGGGGAATACAAATGTACCAGAACAGCAAAGAGTCTCTGCACTTGGAGATTTACTGAAAAATAAAGCCCAAACAGATACCAAAACATCAAACGCAGGGGTAAGCCCATGAGGAAATAAGCGTTAAAAGAAGCTTAAAGTACCACCCAGAAAAAGTTAAGTACAAATTCTTCCGGTAACGGTTTCTGGCTCTGTTTGATCAGCCTTGGTCCCTGGGGTCGGTTCGTCTGCAGTCTCTCCACAGCACTAAAAACCGTGACCCCAATGTACTGTCACCGAGCACAGACCCGCTGCTGAACTCTTCCTGCAGTCTTTCTGCTCTCCTGGAAAACGAGGCCGAGCTCGGCCTCATTCCGCCACGTCCCCTGGAGTCCCAGCTCCACACCAGAACCGGTGTTGAAGAAGAGAAAGCGGCGCCTGCACGCCTAGAGTCCCTCTGTCCCAGCGTCATCCTGACAGCTGACGGACCTAGAAGGGGCTCGTTGTTTGCATGAAGTCTTCTGAGTAAAGAAAAGACTTAACGGCAGTCACACCTCAATGATGTTGACAGATGGCAACCTGTTGTTGTTGTTGTTGTTCTTGGGGAACTGTTGGAGGGGGGGGAAAAAAGAAACGTGAAGACTGTTAAAAAAAAAAAAGGCAAACTTTAATGAGCATGAGAATGCCTTGGAGAATTTGCTTGGATCAGGAGAATTTGCTTGGATCAGTAGTTTTGGTAACACTTTATTTGAAGGGGGTTGAATAAGACTGACATGACACTGTCATAAACATGACATAACACCTGTCATGAACATGAATAAGCCTTCATGAATATTTGACTGTTGTCATAAACGGTCATTGGTAAATTATGACACTTTTAATACGAAGCTGACATTATTCAAAATGTCTTTGACAACTTGACATTAACTAGGAAATCATTACTGTTTAAACTTTACCTTTAATAACATAAAATTACCTAATTTTTAAAGTGCAATCATTAATTCTTTTATAACATTTATATCAGTAATGATTTCTTGGTAAATGTCAAGTTGTCATAACAAAGACATTTTGAATAATGTCAACTTTGTATTAAAAGTGTCATAATTTACCGAATGACGCTTTATGACAACAGTCATAAATATTCATGAAGGCTTATTCATGTTCATGACATGTTATGTCATGTTTATGACAGTGTCATGACAGTCTTAAAAGAGGGTTAATGTCGCATCTAAAATCTGCATGTTTTGCTTTCAAGAAGCCAGACTTTCTCACAACTGTTTTAAGTGACCAAAATACTTGAGATCTGAGATTTTTATTTTTATGCCATTCTTTGTTTAGACGCAAAAGGTAAAAGTGTTTCTTGTATGAATGATTCTATTTTGTTTAATTAATAAATTGTGTAGATTAAAAAAATAATTTAACTTGAAGTACTGTTTAATGTCTCGGTCTCTTGAGAATGCAATTTTGTGGAATTGGGATATATTTTTGAAGCCGTTATGTGAGAACAGTTCTAGTTAGTTTTATCTTCCAAGATAGATCATTTACCTTGGTCTTTCTGAAGTCTGACCAATATAATAATAATAATGTAGAATCCATCCTTACTATTGGTTGTGTAGCACAACATGGCCTTTTTCTGATTGGTTGATCAGACCACTGAGGTTTTGGACTGTCCTCACCTTAAAGATTTTGATCATGAAAGCTATTTCTGACTCGAATGTGTCTAAGCACAGTTGATCAATGTCAAAGTTTTAAGTCATATTCATCAGCAGTTCCCCAAACAAGCCGAGGATATTTCAGTTTTTTCTTTGGGTGCTTCTGCACGACAAATATTACAAGAAAGTCTGACTCTTTGGAAATGATGCATGACTCAACACTTTGTTACGGTATTAGAAATCACGACTCGGGTCCCGTTGAAGCAGAATGCTGCAGTCATGCACATGACGTCACCGTGTTTGAGCAGCGATGCGCTGATGCTCAGATGATGCCGAATGGAAAAACTAATGATGTGTCGGTGGAAAGTAAGTCGAGAAGTGGCCGGGACCATTCACCTGGCCAGCGTCGCTGAGAGGGGGAGGCGCCCAGGGGGGAGGAGGAGGAGCAGAGGGGTGGGTTATACCTTACTGCGCAGCAGGCCCCCCCTCGGGTGTTCAGGAGTGCTGCACTCCGAGGAGTTTTTGGCTTTGTCCTTGTTGTTGTTGGGCTCGTTGTCTTTGATTATGTCATATTGACGACAGAAGAGGGCAATCACACCTGAAGGGAGAAAACAAGTAGAGCGTCTGTTGTTCCATTTTTTTTATTTTTTTTTTAGGAAGCAGTGATGGTTGATTTGGCCTTTTCTCACCTGCCCACATGATGAGTACGACCACAATGATGATGAGCTCTCCAGCCCTCAGCTGGGTCGCCTGACCCACCTCCTCCATGGTCACTTCGTCTGGAAAGGTCAAGAGGGAGAAGGCCATTGGCTATAAAAACTAAAATTGATTTCCTACAGTAACAAACGGGGATTTCTCATTAATCATTTTAATAACTTTGAAGATTTGCTTTAGGTACTCTATTCATTAAGAGAGCCAAGGTCATCTTATTTGGGCTTAGAACAAAAGTAACTCTAAGCCTTCTTTTATTATTGACATATTCATTAATATTTCCCTCACTATAATGAATTTACTATACATCTTGACCCACCACCATTGTTATGTCTGCATATTATGTACTTTAATAAGTCAAGACTTATTAAATTGAGTAATGAGAGGGAGAGTTCAGAGTAATCATGGGTGTTGGTGAATTTGTTTAATAATATAGATAATTGCGATATTGCAGATGTTGGTCGCAATAAATTTCACTCAATTTATATAATTTAGAACGATGTGAGAAAAAATGTTAAGATTCTTGAAGTAAAAAAGAAAAGTGAAATAATGCGAGGGTAAAAGCAGACAGGCTTTGTCAGTGTAATCAAGAGAGTGTGAATTCCTTGCTTTATGTTGACCACTGTTCTTTGTTGGGAAAAACTGGACATCAGGAAACGTTTAGAAATTTTCTACAAATATTGCAAAACAAAGATGATTTAAAAAAAAAAAATCATGGCAACTTTGTCATTTCATGTTTGTTTTTTTTTCTTGAAAACCATGGCTGTAGTATCATTATTTGGTCCTTTTTTATGCTGAAACAAAAGGTTATGATTAAGTACAGATCTGATAACATTTTAAGTTGGATGTTTTAATCATATTTCAGTTATTTTGGCACATTTAAAACTTCAGAACATCAATGAAAACCAATAATATTTCAGTTCACATCATTCTACAATATACAGAGGAGTGATGTAGACAAGCAAAACTCTAAGATTTATGTTCTTTAGCCTATTAGTACGGAGAAGCTTTTGTCACTCATTGAGCCTGCCAGCTCCTCATAAACTATTCAGAGTGGTATTTCTTGTCTTCAAGCTCCTGTTCTCTGCAGGGATTTTTCCAAGAGTTTTCTCTCTCTGCAGCTTCAAAAGGTGTCACAGCACACTGCTGTAGAGCCGCTGCCGCCGACACTGAACTGCTCGACTGTCATTTAATCCAATTGGGGTTACACTGACAGACTTTTTCCAGACATCTCCTGTTCAAGACCTGTATTTGTACTCAAGAAGGCTTTTTGAACATTTTTTGCAAAATATGTTAGAAAATTAGATTTTTTTTTTAATACATATTTTGTAGTTGACTTTTTCCAAAAAGTGTTTCTTGCGTTCAGTAAATCGTCTTCTGTTCTCTTCTTTAATGGCAGCGGAATATAGCGCAGGCTTAAAACAGTGAGGATTTTCTACTGATTTACACACAAACTCAGTGACAAAAGTCTTTTTTCCATGCACTGTAGTGTGACCTGAAGTTTACTGCGACACACAGAGCTTTCCGTCCTTTTATACGACAGCAGCGGGTGAAATTTGGTGTGCCCCGTGTGCAGGATCCCCATGCTCCAGTGGCTTTTAGCAACAAGCAATTCTACCAATCGATTGGTCTCTTTAAAAGAAAAGAAAAAAATCAAAGCACAACAGCCTGGGGCCCCTCAAGCTTTCAGCTGGCCGACCAAACTGGACTGACTGGTCACCTGGAACACCTGACAGAAGCCTGTTTGCTGCTGGGGCTTTTTATAATTGTATATATATGTATCAGTCTTGAATGGCAATCAATATCCTTTTAAAGAAATGGCAAACATTTTTGGAAACAATTATTTGTTTGAAGGTCACAGCAGATGTTTCCCCCCCCTTATGGTAATCCTACATGTAGAAGAAAATGAAACTTGAAAGTGAAACAAAAATAATCACATGAAAACAAATAATCGCTTTGACTTTCCTGACTCTGCTTTGGAGAATATTCGGGTGGTTTAGTTAGTTATGTATTCAACAAATCTAGCCTTCACGTTTCTAGATGTGCAAAGCAGGAAGGAAGCGATATAGATGTCCTTCAATTAAAATTTTTATAAAATACACAGATGTTTGAGGGTTGCAATGTGATAAAATGTAAAAAAAAAAAAAAGGTTTTCAACTTTGAACTTCAAATCAGTGAAGTTATTTTTTAACTTGCTTTAGCTTTGCTCAAGGTAAAATAAGTAAATTCTTACCTTCTTGTTTTCATGATAAATAGAAGTTGTTTGTACAGCTGAATTTAAGCTTAAATCCCTGAGTGGTTTCTCTCTTTTTTTGTGTGTGTTGGCAATTTTGCTAATTCGTCTCTAATGCAGATGAGCTGAGAGACGTTTAATTGGCAAACATCAGAAAACATGGTAACACTTTATTTGAAGGGGGTTGAATAAGACTGACATGACACTGTCATAAACATGAATAAGCCTTCATGAATATTTATGAGAAATCATTACTGATATAAATTTGTTATAAAAGTATTACTGATTGCGCTTTAAAAATTAGGTAACTTTATGTTATTAAAGGTAAAGTTTAAACAGTAATGATTTCTTGGTTAATGTCAAGTTGTCATAACAAAGACATTTTCAATAATGTCAACTTTGTATTAAAAGTGTCATAATTTACCGAATGACGCTTTATGACAACAGGCATAAATATTCAGGAAGGCTTATTCATGTTCATGACAGGTGTTATGTCATGTTTATAACAGTGTCATGTCAGTCTTATTCACCCCCCTTCAAATAAAGTGTTACCGAAAACATTTATGAAGGCAAAGTCTTCAAGCCTTAACAAAATGATGGAAGTCCTTCGTGACAACGCTTTGTATTTTCTTAACGCAGTACCACAGAGAGAAGCTTCACATTTATTAGATCCAAGGAGAGTAATCAGCAATGTTTGCAGTCTGTGCTTTTTCCACATGTGGCATCTGGTTCGAGCAACATTCCTGTCTTTCTCTTAACTCATTGCCACATCTTTTTGCATTGAGTACATGTTGTGTTGGCTTCTTTTCATCCCAGTTTTTTTGCTCTTTTGATCTCGTGTATCTCAATCCCATGACGAAAAATCTGACATTTTCAGGCTCATCCTTTGCTCTCAGAGATCAGTGTAATACAGTAAGGCAGAGCAGCTGAAAGGGAACCGTGAAAACCTCGTTTTATTCCTCAAGATGTTCGCCCAGCATGTCTAGACAACAGCTGCACTGAGATCTGCTCCCATTCTGTAGACTGCACCACTGTCTGCTAACAAACTCCTCTGTTCATGTCAAGATTTACAGCACTATTTGCTTTTCATGTTCTTAAATCTGTTCCAGTATTAATCATATCTCTGAGTGATCTACAGAAATGTTGCAAAAAGAGGTGTTGTAAATGTAAAAGAAACAAAATGAGGTTATTCTGAGACTTATTAGTGCAACAGATTTGATCATATAACATGTGTCTTTCCAGGTTTTTGTGATTTAAAATAAAAATCAATCGGAGTTTTCCTACTTTTAATGTGGCATATCAAGTATTTTCAACTAAAGACAAATATTTGCGTAATATATAATTATACAATATTTAATATGTGTTATTAGTGAGGAGAGGAGCATTAAAAATCCACAAACATGGCACAATAAATAATTATGGAGAATATCAGACAATTTCGGCTTTACCGAAACTGGATATTCTCTATATTCTGGTGAAAAAGCGAGGCTGAAGTTATTTGTGGATCCTGCCAATGAGATCAAAAGCTACACAGGGTTTGGTTGGTACTGGTTGTGTTCACCATGTACCCAGAGTCCCATGTGTCCTACTTAAGTCTGGCCGAAGGAGGACTGAAGTCTGTTCTTCCCCACAAAAAAACCTTCCAGATCCGACCGAAGTCTTTAAACTCTTGGACACAATTACAAAACGTGTCAGAATTAACAAAAGAGCGGATACAAGAGAGGTTTTGAATAAGTTCAGGGCTAAATCTTATGAAGGTCTCTGACAAGAGACGTGTTCAAAATCTGATAGAGGCCAGAGTGGGCAAATGACATCAAAGGGTAGAAAATGTTTTGAAATAATTTATCATAGTTTAATTTCCCCCGCCGCCCCATATATCTGTCATCTTAACAAGGGAGCGTAGACTTCTTATATTTATTATAAATCTAGAATCTTTAATAAATTGAATCTGCTTTTTATTTTGAGTTTTTGCATTTTAGCATTTCTTCTCCTGTCCACATTTGTGCTGGAACTGAGTCGAGTTTGATCAGCGTCTCAGTCATTTTGTAAAACAAGCATTGCTTTGAATGCTACTGTAACAACAATTTCCTGTGAATTGAATTACAAGATGTTTACTCAGAGAAAAGCTGCTCCTCTGCCACAGCAAAATGCTCCTCTGTTCTAACCCAGTCGAGTTAATTAAACAGACATCCTTGAGAAAGCACCGCGAACGAAAAAAAAAAAAAAAAACGGAGGACGGCTGGTACTGTGCCAAACCGCGAAGAGGTGGTCTCTGCGGATGTTGAATCTTTGATGATAGGAAAAGGTGCGGAAGTGGAAATCTTTTTTATTTCCCAGTGAACAGGGGCTCGGCGTCGAAACACTTCATTTGTTTTAAAGTGCAAGCAGCGATAACCTGGAGAGGTGAAAATTTAACTTAGTCCTGAAAGCATGTTTTCCCATCTTTTTAGAAAATGAGTGCATATTTCTGTTTTCTTTCACTGTAATTTTATTTTACTGCAAAAATGAATTTGCGTTAAAAGTGTTTTTGTGTGTGCGCTAGAAACCTCCATTCCCAAAAAACAAAAACAATTTCTGTCCATTTGTGTGAACTATTTAGTGTGTGGAGTGACAAAAGCAACAACGTGTAATTACACAAAATTGAAAAAAAAAAAGAAAAAAAGAAAATCCAATTAAAAAGTGTTTGCTTGTGTCCTGCGCGGTGATTGATCTCACTAAATTCTTCCCTGCTGCATAAATAACACTCAGACAACGTATTCAGTATTAATTAAGTCTTGGTGGTCGCCGGCGCATCTCTTCAGTGTTTGGCGCTGATTGTTTTTATGTTCTACATGCTTCCTGGCAGCCCACTTACAGCCACAGCGAGAAGTTCAGACTCCCTCTGGCTCCAAACAGTGCGGAGCATCGCGGCAGCTCATGTAAGAGAGGAGTGCAAATGAGAGGGGGAATAGATGGAGCAATGGCTCGGCCAAAAGCACATCGATTCTCCACCCCTTACAGCTTCCTTACTACCTCCTCCGTCTGTCTGATAAATGCCTTTCCTCATTTTGGTTTACAGTGGTGCTGTGCAGGGCGCATACAGAGTGGCTCTAGCAGAAAAACATCAATAAACAGTGAAGTATGCTTCCCCTGACGGGCGTTTTGCTCCTTAGCTGTAGTCAGTAGGGGAGAGATGGAGCAGTCTGTTGTGAAATTTCATTTCATGCTTTGTTGTGTCTATTGATTTCTTTTGGATTTTTAGGCTAAATCTGTCACTGTATTGTCAAAAGGCCAAGTCCCTTTCGTACTTATGCCCTAAAACAAGGAGCAGAAGAGCTCTCCTCCATCCTTGTAGGTGTAAATGACTGAACGAGTGAGCGTATTTGCATGTGGCTATTTACTCTTAGAGGCCTGCGTCTCGGCCTCCTTTGGGGTTCGGAAGCGCAGCGGTTCGCTCAGCGGGCTCGTCCCGGACATGCTGACGGACTGGACGTGCACTATGTAGTCTGTCTCCTCCTCCAAGTCCCATAATGCACAGGAGCGCGTGGTGGTGTTGACTTCCTGGATCAACCGCAGCATGCGCACATCTTTCTTCTGTTGAAGCAGGAAACGACATGGGGGTTGACTGATTAAACAAAGACTTGAAAACACACACACACATAATAAAGGTAGAGGTAAAGCCAGGACATGCCGCAGTCACCACTGAGTACCAGGAGGGCTTTTGTGACATTTTTTATTGGAATACGCATCTTCCCATCTTTGCATCTTGGCAAACGCAGAGTTATCTCATTTGCAAAATGGGTAAACTGGAAGCAAAAGGATCTCTGCGACTGATCAAAGAGGCACCATCGAGCTGTCCAGACAGCATGAATGAAAGCTCCTTGATGGTTTGATCTCTCTGGTATTCAGAGACATGTGTGCTGTGTACATAGCCTTAAAAGATATTCAACTTTAAATGCAGTAGCATAATCTCACCGTTCAAAAAATAAGTCCAGCCTTTAATTTCAAAACATTTAGTCAGTGATAACGAAAAAAAAAACAACTTTTAAATATTATGACTGTTGCTAGTTCTATCAGTCTCTTAGCCCACACGTGTCAAACTCAAGGCCCTGGGGCCAAATCTGGCCCACCATAGCTTTTTATGTGGCCCTCTCAACTCCAAATATCATCTATTAAATCTCTCCATTTTTTCAAAAATCTGCAAAATTCACATAAGATCAACAGATTACCACATTTTTACAGATTTTACTGCAAATCTTTATCGCAAGTGGTAAAAGCAAATATTGGGTTTAAGTGACTGCTGCTTCAGCCTTCCTTGATATCAAGTCATACTCCGAGTAATAAAAAACCCTCATATTTAATATCATACATTAGCACAAATGTTGTAAAAATTCCTTGCAAATATTTCTAATTTAGTACCACATCTGTGATTTTGATTGAAAAACGATCAAAAATCCTGGAGGGACAGCTATTTATTCATATCTTACTAGGTTAATGGGTTTTATCAATACGTTCTGGTGCAACCGGCCCTTTAAAAACACTCAAATGTTTGATATGGCCCAAAATGAAACTGAGTTTGCCTCAGACTGATCAGTTTCTTACAGTTTCTAATTTATAATCCATAACCATTTATTTACCAGAAGTTTAAATCTGATATAATGCAGAGGGCCATTTCTTTCAGCCCCTAAAAAAGGCTGAATGAGTTTGTTCAGAAGAGAATGGAGCATAGACTGTGTTTAACCCAATCTCCAGCATCTCTTCCATCAAAAATAAGTACCTTTAGAAGAAAATGATTTCCACCTCATTTTCTTAAGCATCTTAAGATACTGTGAAACGTGATAAATGCTCATTAGCATTCTGAATACATACTGTGAGCTCTCTAGCTCTGCAAAGCTAGTAAGAAACTCGTATTTTATTTTCCTTCAACTTCTCAAAACACTTTTTTGCTACACAAAATCCCAATGAAAATACATTAACATTTGTGTGCAAACGGTTGTTCGAAAGCGCTGCAGCCCTGTGCAGGCTGCCAGCACAAACATTCACCCAAACAACCAAGTGGCTGCAGTCTCATATTTAATAGAGCAAGAGAACAATGCTACAGAACCTTTTCATTTCTAATTCTATGAATAATTGATCATGCAAGTCCTCAAATTCCCAAACTGTTCCTTACAAAAACAAGCAAGTGCGTTATTGAAACAGTGTAAATGCACATATAATACACATTATTGTCCGAAGTGATGTTTTCCAGACAGAAAACATCAGTTGCTGTATGTCCCCTATCTGTGGAGTTATGTGTGTGTGTGTGTGTGGATGTAAAATGAGGTGAATGAAGTTAAATGTTTTGCCTATTTAGTCTATTAACACACCTCGGCGTCTTTTCGTAAATCCATATCTTCTTCACCTTGTTGTGTTTTGTCCACTGATGTCTCCTACACAATCTGCTACTCACCTGCTGTGTGATGGCAAAGCCAATGACGGGGTCTCCCTCGGGGATGTCCCATGACACCACAGCAGAGTTTGCTTTCACCTCTTTGATGGTCACATTGACGGGAGGCGACAGGCTATCTGCAAACAATGAGACAGGAAGAAAAGCCCTTTGTTCACGCTCTAATATAAAGTAATAAAGTAAAAGCTCCGTTTTCTGCATTCTGCTGCAATGTCCACCGGCACGGCGGGAAGCCGAGTTCGTTGGTGTGAATAAATGGCTCAGAGGAATCCATTTTATGAGGTTGGGATTCATAGTGGGAAGTAGGAAGAGGAAAAACAGTGAAAAATGCTGTTTATTTTCTTTGGCTGCACCCCCAAGAAATAAGGGAGACTGTAGATATGAGCTTACTTTGTGTATTAGTGCATATTAAGGTAAATTTGGTCCCTACCCTCTACAAATACCTAGAGTCCATATAGTCCAAAATTTAACAGCAGGAAACAGTATAAAATAGTAAAAAAAAAAAAAAAAGTAATGAAAAATGACAGAGAAGATAAGGTATTGCTCATTTGATGTTGTTAGTTACTTTCATTGTCTACAGATGAAACCATCAGAGGTCAGTTTTAGTTTTCCAGGTCAGTAATTGTACATCTAGACTTTGCTGTGTGATCCTCCTCCAACCTGTTGATGCTCAGTGTCAGTCAGATAAGCTGGAAGGTCGTTACACTATTTTCTTGCAGGCCATGAAGCTACTGCTACCCCTCATTCTAATTAAAGTCAGACTGTTTAAAATGTACAGGCAGGTGCGGCATGTCCACCACGGCCAGCATACAGTCACAGTTTTAGCGTTTATCATAAAGTACCTTTTTGGAGGCCTAAATACATCCCAAACTCACCACATTTTGCTTAAAAATCTGTCACAGTTATTTCCAGGATTGTTAAAACTTCGATGTAGAGACTATTTGCAGGCAAAGCGCTGAGTGCACTGGCGCGTCATTTCTAGCAACCCACCGTTGCTGCTTAGGCCAGATTCCTGCCGAGGTTTGCAGCAAAAGAAAGATATAATTTTTTTGTGTGTAAATGCCATATGAAACCGTGGTAGTTATACAGTAGCTACGTGGGAGAAAATCAAATAAAATCAGTTTTTTGGTTAGTTTAAAGTTTTGTTAGTGTGAAGTTTTGATCTTCACGTGTTTTTAAATCAAGTCCCTGAAATGAAAGTCTTTTTTGGGGGTTTTCATATACTGTTGTGGAATGAAACACCCATATCGTTGTTTATAAAGAATAAATTTTTTCATCAAAGAAAAACCTTAAAAATAGTACCATTAATTTCTTTATGTATTCATCCAATTTGTATTTTGACTACAAGCTTTAATATTTAGCAAGTCCCCATTGAAATTTCCCACTTTCTGTCTCTTTGTAAGTATTTGAAAACAAGACCAATAAAATGCTCCAACACGAACCGATATATAGAGACGCTAACAACTTTTGACTCATTATCAGAATACGTCTAACGACTAAACAACTGTGTGTCTCCGCGCCGTGCTTTTGGTTTGGTATCAAGTTCCAAACCCACTTCCGGTTTAATTAGGGTCACACTCTACAAGAGCTGCGAATAATAATTTGCCTTCATTACATAATTAGTTGTGAGATTATGTGTTGCTCCTGGTGCACTTTGGTGGCCTCAGCTGCTTGGGGACTTGGAGTCTGTAATTATGAAGCTCAAGGCTGCACACGTCTGACGGTAGCCGAGTGTAGATCACATTATTAAAGGAGCGGCAAGCTAAGGGAAAGAACAAACGATCTGTTAAAGGTTGTGATATAAAGCGGGGACTCGTAATGAACTTTTAGACTTTAATGTTAAGGCGAGACACAAAGAATGAGTGAAAGTCGAGATGAGCGTGGGCCTTTTTTGTTTTAACGATGAAGCCCTCGCATCTGAACTCTATTGTTGTGAAACGCTGGATCCTTCCTTTAAGAAGCTCTGATTGATATTTGCTTTGTGGAGCTGAAAGGTGAATAAAGACGAGAAGTTTTAAAGCGAGGCCCTCTCCGAGGCTTTGACGGGTCATAAATCTTACTCGACCAATCAAATGAAATCAATGAGTCATTGAATAGGTTAACGCTCACTTGCCCTCAGACCCGCACCAACCTCACAGCTGGTAATTACAGGACAATGGGCCGCTCTAGTGCTTGTGTACGTACTGTACATTCAGAAACAGGGGCTGCAGTCCAGAGCAGGCTTTTATTATTATTTTTTTTTTAGCCTTTCTTTTGTTTTGCGCCGCCTCTCGGCTTGATGCCTGTGGCTGACATCTTGATGAATGACCTGACTAACTGCAGATGACAGGATGGAGACTCGCTGCATCTCTTCATCAGAAAAAAGGGGGGCAACTTTGATGTTTGCAGTGGATTTGCTTTTGTTTACCGTCTGCTGTTTACTTGGTTAGCCTGGAGGACGGGCGTCTGGGGCTCCGGAGCCGAATGAAACCGTAGGAATCACAAATGAAGCTTATCATCTCTCCGTTGGTGCTCACTTTATTTTCTGTTCTCCCTCCTGGAGCACATTTATTTCTGTCTGTGACACCATTACTTACTTTACACGTGCTAAACTGCTGTTTAAAAATAATGGATACAAGTTCTTCTGCACACTGTGGGAACGAACATATTCACGTGGCCTACATTTTCATCTTACCTGTCGCTTCACATTGCAATCCTCGAATTTTAAGCTGTTGCATAAAGTGCGAGACTTTAGTATTAAAGCAGAGTTTCCCAACCTCTGTCTTTGTGGTTTTGGTGCTTAACTTTTAATTATAAGTACTGCTGAGTAACAGGCTTACAAGGAGCTTAAATCATTTTTAATCAACTGCGTTTTGAAAACAAAATAATAATAATAATAATAATTATAAAAAAAAACATTTGACACAAACAAAGATGATGGATCCCAAACTCGGCATACACTTCCAGATTAAGAGTAATCACAATAATCATATGAGAACTATGACCGCTATGAATGAGTGGATGTTATAATTATTTGTAAAATGTTTCTTTTAAATGTCAGAGAGATTCCTCTAAGCTCCACAAATAGAAACGTCTTTCACTTCAGATAACTTTATAATTAGATAACTTCTGATTATTGAGGCTCATTGACATGCTGACATGCTAACGCTAGCCGAGCCTTGCTCTCAATATATTTGTTTCAGCTAAATTTGGATATGTCCGGTGGCTAGCAGAAGATAAATAAGGGACGTATCAAATGAAACTTAAAAAATGACCAGAGTTTAAAACTAATTTTGTATATTTTAGAGCTTTTCAGATTTCTAAATTAAACAGACATTTTTTTAGGTCTTTTATTTGTCGTGTTCTAGAGGGCCTTTTACAGTGGGCTACTTTCATATAAACAGGCAGAACTATAAGAATATACAAAGTAGTAAAAAAAAAAAATATTTTTAATAATCTGGCTGTGGATCAGATGTTGTTTGAAGTGAATCTATAGTCCAGTGTAGTTTTTTGAAGTGATCTGAGGAAAAAGCCTCAGCTAGTGGAAAATGTGTTTACATTTGGACTTTGAATCAGAAATTTGTGTCCTATTGGAGAAAGCTGACTTTAACCTTTGATTGTCTCTCTCAGTGGTTCTTTTATATTTTCACTCCAATGTTTAGTATTCTGGGTGCCTCTTGTGTTTTGTAGAAAGACATTTCTCCTACAAGTCAGAAAACAAGTATTGATTAAAGTCTTTTAAATTGAATAATAGTTAAACTTCAAAAGAAGCAGTGGGAGGTGAATATGCATCATCAAGTTCGCATGTCCACATAGTGCGTGTATAAACCCGCTCTCCAAGTGTCCTCGTGTCCCAGAGCTTTTGGAAACTTTTTCTTTTGTCTTTGCCCGTCTCCTCTTCGCATGCGTTTGTCTTTGGGGACAGAGAGAGAAAGGGAGAGGATGCCGGGCCGTGACCGTGTTCCTTAAATATCCACATGACACAGGAGTCAGCCCTAATGAAACACCAGACAGATGTCTTCATAAACTCTCAGTGGCACACAGCCCGCTTCGCTCCGAGACAAGGTGGGGGTGACTTTGAGCCATGACGGATTCCTCTGTTGCGTGTGCGTCTTTGTTATCCTGATGATGATCAGAGTGACAGCTAATTGTCAGTCCCACGCTGAGCTGCGTTGAGGATGACAGCTCCTTATTGCTCCCTAGCGTTTAACAGCTCCCCGAGACGTTAAACATGTTAAAACGTGGACAGTTCAGGGGGGAGGGAGGAATGCCGAGTGGTCCATCATTGTTTTGCTTGCGCTCTCCTCGATTCTCCATCGACCTGAGTCGGACAGAGTTTAGTCTGCCGCGTGTTACCAAGTGTGCCGACACAGAAGCGTGGGCTGAGTCGGAGGGAGATACTGCAGGTAGCCCGAGAATATGTAATGTGGAGCGTGTATTGTTGGGTGCTATAAAGATCAAATGGTTTTTCTTTTCATGTTCCCCAACTGTAGAGCTCTGCTTTCCTGAGTGGTCTCCGTGGAGCTATTTCTGCTGCCTCAAATCATTTTGAGTGGGCCCATTTAGACATGGCATAAACATGCAGTCAGCCGAGTTACCGGAGGTTTATTCTGATTAACAAAGAGGCCTTAAAGTTCACTGCAACTTCTTTACACAGTGCAAATATTTTAGTAAGAATAAACCTGCAGTCAGTCTGCCTCGTGATGTAATCTGATGTATTATTTTTTAAGTGCTGTAACGAGGTTTATCCAAAAACTTGATTTCATATGAACAGACATCTAAAAAAAAACAAAAAAACAGTAAACTTAATATTAGCATATTCATTCAATTCCATTTTATTCATTTAAACTGCATCAATCAATGAGTTCCAGGAAACAGGCACAGCTAAACTCAGAGGCATTGAGCCAGGAGTAGTTTCTACTGAAAAAACCCCCAACAAAAACACAACGAGAACAGAGTTATTGACAGAAATAGCTCCTTCCAGGAAAGAGATGCAGCTAAAATAACAATGCCGGGCCAAATCTGCCATCAACAGAAAAAAAATAAAATAAAAAGAGAGAAAAAAAAAGCTACAGCAGGAATAACTGCAATTAACAGAGAGGTGGATCATGGCTGCAGAAAATAGCAATCAGTATCAGGG